GAACTACATACATATATATATATATATATATTGCTAATGAAGTTGGGAACACTTTCATGACCTGAAGAATAGCCGGCTTGAAACCTGGACGATAACTTCGGGAGGAGAATCCGAGACCTCTTCAGGTGTCTGACACCCGGTGGCTAAAACGTAAACGATATGGTGGATAACCGATCTCACTGGTATTTATCTTGTCAGTTTCACTCTACTTTATCTGACTGATTATTGGAGGGGTAGGCACCTGGGATGTTTGTTTTAGGCTGGCTTCGGGTTCCACTCTTTCGTTTGCTTTCTTTTCTTCATTATAAGGCATTATATAATAAAATAGTACCCTTGCGAAGAGTGGCGCGGAGACATCACTGACGATGATGTACTCTGTGCTGTGATGTTGACAGTGCCCATTCGAACACGAAATGAACAGTGTGTGGTGACTTGCTTTGTGTGGCTGAAACATACCAAGCACAAAATGCAGTGCGCGTGAATTTGTGGGAGACTCTGTCTGTCCATTTTCTCCCTAGGCAAAAAGAACCCATTATTAATATGCCCCTTGTGTGATTCACACACCGATAACGGACGACTTCTCGAAATATGTAGTCACAATTTTCTATGAGACCCACTTCAGTATTTAAGATATTTTGATTCAGCAGCTCGAACATATTCAACAACCAGCAGACATTCTGGTCTCACTAAGAGAAGCGTTTGCGTAAGACGTTTCTGATATAGTTAGCGTGTTGCTTTTGTCCATTTCGTTCAACTTGAATTACAGAAAGTGAACTTCCTAAGCGACACCATCTGGGTAGCCGTGTCGTATCTGACAGCCTAAAATAAGCAAAGGTACAGGGAAGTCAATCTTTGCACAATAATGCTGAGTAAATTTTCCGTTTATCCTACTGTTCCGCTATCCTTTGACAGCAACTGTGGACACGATCTTTAGTATTTTCACTGTCTAGCTGTCAAGGATAATGGAAGTTCAGCTGAACTTAGAAAGTGGAAATGGAAGAGGTAGACGACTATCGTCACTGGCAATCATCTCTTAAGCACAAAATTAATTTAGGCAACACATGTTTGTAGAAGTTTTTGCGGAATGTAGTATTTTAGATGCTTTATTCTTCTTGAAGATTTCGGTTAAGGGGAACTTTATTTGGAGCACGCTGATTCTGTAGCTGATTCTGTAAAACCCCGAAGATATCAGTATGTATGGATCACTGTGTTTTATGAATCTGGCCAAGATGGCAGCGCACATCACATATGTAGTTTTAAGCATGAGCACACTAAAAACAATTGGTTTTTCGGCGTCCATGAATAGCCACCAAGCTTGACTTAGGGCAGTGTATTCTGTTTGGCCGATTCTTGGTGTCCATTATACAGTTGCTTCAGCAATGCGCTTGACGGTGTTTGGAACTCTCATCATGCAGTCCGTAAACTGCGCAAGTCACGTTTCGTAAAGATACACGGGTATAGACTAAAATACCAGAAATTCGAGTGTCCCAATTAGGCCGTCACGGTGAAATGGCAGTGACAAACAAACTTGCTGAATGTCCGAATCGGTGATAATCAAAGATCCGGAAAATCTTCATCTGGCTCTGTCACATAGCAGTTAGAGTGCCGCACCCCACTAGCAAAACAATGGACATCAGGCAGAACCAGAGTACACTAGTGTTTTTGCTATGGGACGCAATTTGAGATCATTTGACAAAGCGTTAGATTAACCCAGTTAAAATGAGCGACAAACGTCAGCGTTGAACAGGCTAACTAAGCAACGTGGGAATTCTGATTACTGGATGTGCTAAAAATGATGTGGAATATTAAAACGGGTAAGTTAATTTTGCTTAACCAGTCGGTGCCTCACAAATTCTAGAGGGCATTGATGAAATATGGAAGCCTTAAAATGGCTAAGGAATAAATTGATATTCCACATCATCGGGAATGGAATAGGGCACTGAATAAGCTCCGCACAATTCAATTTGTTTGTTTTTTGTCGCTTTCCTACTGAACATGAAGTGTTCGATACCTTTCAAGAGGACAGCTGTCAAGCATTACTGTAATGCATTTCCGTATTTACTGAAAAGTTCCACAATTCGTAGCTAAAAATCTCATCAGCTTATTTGAAATTGATCTGTGCAGTGTGACTCATTGTGAGCCGTTCTGTGACACTCCCGGCAAACATTTATATAGGATGGATAAGATCAGTCAAAATATTTCCCCCGCAATGCAGGAGGCATAAGTTACAGGCGTATAAGACGGTCATAATTGATGTACATTTGGGCGTGATATTTTCTTGCTTGATCAGTTTCTTGTCGAAGAATGCAGCATCTGTGAATCTGAAAGTAACGGTCTATATCGCAAATTGTCCGCAGTAAGGTCCTGAGTTGAGGTAAAATTATCAGTCGGTTACAACGAACGCCACTGCGCCGAAAACACATACCGACGTTTTAATAAATTACTATAGACAGAAGGTGAGTGAACTAAATACCAGTTGTATCTATGGTCTTGTGGTTGTATCACAGCCAAATGCACCCTTGGTGTCAGTACTGCGAAAACTGTTGAGTTAGTCCGTAGTTTTTGTGAATTTGTTTTTGCTGATTCTTTGGTGGCCCCAAGGTTTCAAATGCTGTAGTCATTTGGCTGGTTCACCAACAAACAACCGACTGGGAATAGTTGTATGTAGCTACGAGGAAGCTTGACAAAGCGTCATACGAAAAAAAACAGATGACATTACAAAATAGAAGAACATAATGGATAAAATCCAACTATTAGTTGGAACATAGTATGCTAGACCACGACGAGTGAACACAAGGCAAGGCACAAAACAAAAGGAGCCACTGATGTTATCTGCTATATCCGACAGTAGAGATTATATGACCTACATGCATAGTTATTATTCGTTCAATCATGCATACAACCTATCCATCAAGTGTACAAGTATAAGAACAAGTTTCTGTCTTTTTCGATAGTACTCAGTCATATTGTATTGAAATCAGGATCAGTGATCCAACCACTACTGTTGCTGAGAATGCGAAGTCTGCCAGCATAAGTTTCCACATACACGATGTTGGCCACATCCCTCTATTGCCAATGTATCCAATATCCAATTTTTTGTGGCCCTGCTGGATTGAAATTATGCCGCTTAGTTATCTGATGGAAGAATTCACGTCGGTGTCCGCTGGTGTGAATGTCTTTTCTATTCAGATATACTGACCAATTCAGTGATTCTGGTCACAAAATGATCGGATTAAATGAGCATTTACGTCTGGTCGTTGGCTTGTTCGCTGGGCTGGGCAATTTGATTGCAAACGTTTCATCACAAATCGAGGTGAACCAATCAGTGCGTAGTGGTGTGTAGCGGTTGTTTAGTGGTTAAGCTCTTTAGAACCTATATAGAACATCCAAGTCTGTATTTCGATAGGCCATTTATATTTTATTTTATATTTATAAGCCAGAGTGACATCATGCACGGCTGCGTGGTCTGCTTGTGTGAATGGGGTGTGTAACCTCTCTAGCTGCATATCGCTGTGTCACTGTGGCCATAATCTGGTATGATTCGGGACATTACGTTAGTTTTAAAAAATAGAAAAATCTTGTCCTTCATCTACAACAAAATTTTAATTTCTATCTACCTTGCCAGCCAACGGTTGCATCAGAGCCGATGTCATGCTAAATTACTCAAGCCTAGGCTAGAGAAGTCCAGAGGCTTTCGTTGGGTTCGAAACAAACATTTTGTGCCTTAAGAACTGACCTATCTTGAGCTCATGTCGGTGCATTAATAATGACTGTTTCGCATCACATAACTGTTAACGGGGGAGTTTTTTTTAATTACCATTCGTGGTAACAAAGAAATTTTTGACGGAAGCTCGAATCAAATTCAAGCTTTAGTCGGAAGAAATCCATCCAGTCAAAGACCTACATGAAGAAAGCAGTAGGTTCACCCAACTCTTTTTATGTCACATACACAAGCTTGCCGCAATATTATATCGTTATAGTTTGCCTTGGGAAAGCAACATGTTCTTGTAAGTATCTCTATCTGAGTCTCAATATGAGTGTTGAATATTCCTATCTAAATTAAACGTGCAATTCAGGTTAGTCAGAAAGTAACCTAGCTGAACCTAGATATCGCACGTACCGCTCAATTAAGTTGCTACAATTCCGTGAGTAATTCGCTAGTAAATATATCAAGGATAAAATTGTTTTGATAACATTACCATACTATTACATCGATCGTATCCACAGATTGCTGCTCCATCAACCGTTTTCCGAACTGTTTGATTTTGACTGTTACTATTAGGATGCTTTCGAAAAAATTCCCTCGGATCCACATTTTTTCAACAATTACAGGATAGTATGTCAGTTTAGTTAATTGGCAAACAACAGTCTGTTTAGGTTGATCAAAAAGCTGCACAGCCCCTTCATGTTGATGGAAAATCACATCTGCACTCCATAAGTCTGGGGTTAGCGCCTCAGAACTTGCGTCTGCCAATACTTGCATCTTTCAGCATGACATTTTGTCTTCCATTTTCTCATGAGACCCGAGCATTTTCACGTGCTTAATCTAAGGTTTATGTGCAACTCCATCATCCAAAGTCCCTCGTATCACATGTTTAGACCGTGCTCTTAGGTGAACACATGGATTTTGGGCAAACCTAGCGTCTCACATTTGATTTGTTCAAATCCCCACCGAATTCCGTCTGAGTAAACCGCGTATTTGATATGAGTTGGATCTTACAACGAGTGAAATATCTGCATACTTATTTCACTGTCGTCGAAAACATATTCAATCACAAGCGGACTATGAACTTGTGTTTTTTTTGTTTTCTCTCCCTATGAAGGTGCCAAAGTGGAAAGACAATGTATTACTACAACAATTTTTCAAGCATCTTAACCCGACATGGCTTGTGTCATCTGGTACAGCTGACTTCTCAAGGTTAGTGTAAATGTTCATTGTGATTGCACACCATCGGACTAGGGTCTACATAACTCAGACTGTCTGGATGCGACGTTTATTTGGTTAACGTCTGTAAAACGATTGAACCCGCGCGTTTATTGTCTGCTTGAGCACTCCTTTTGACCGAATGCATATCCTGATGGTACATGTCTACCCAATGTCTTTGTTAAGACAGTCATGTCAGACATGTTTAATTCATTCTACAGAGGACTAGAAAAAAGGAGTAAATCTAAATTGAAATGAGTCGCCATATTAGCTCACTTTAACTTTTCACGGCGAGTCTAAATTGGCCTGTTTGACTGCCAAATCCACATCTCAGTGCGCCGAAATAAAAAGGCCACGACAGTTTGGCGTTAATAAAGGGGATTGTGCAAGTGAAATAACAAGGCCACGACAGTTTGGCGTTATTAATAAAGGTGATTTGTGCAAGTTGATTTTTTCTTGTTAAAAACGCTTGAAAACGCTTTCCCGAGAACTATAAAACCACAAACCAAGGAATAATCATGGTGTTAGGGGTATACGGGGTTTCGGCTACCGACGGTGAAGTTCGATAATTGAAATAGTGTAAAGTGAATTCCAAACGCGCATTTATTGTGCACTTTGAGTGACTCCATCCGTACTTTGCGTTAAACTTGTTGGGCGCCTGCTCACAAAATATAACACTCTAGAGAAGACGGATAACCTTTGTGACAGATATTTTATTAACGCCGCTATTTGCAACTGTAATGGAGAAAATACCGTACTTTATAAATGGTTCGCATTTTTACTTGGGCAATTAATTATTTTTCTCGTTTTCCCAAACACTCTACTCAAAAAGATCGAGAAATCGAATTTTTAATGGACCCCCAAGAATATGATTATCTGCTGCCAAACTCGGGCCTCGTGGGACTCCGTGTATGGGTGCACGCAAGTGAATCTCAGGCTAGAGCTGATCTCCAGCTAGGCGCGATGGAGACTCACGTCCATCTGTCAGCATTTGGATCAGTTCCATTGGGCGTTCAACCAAACGAGTTTGTGGTTAGCCCGACGTTTCACACAATATCGCGAATAGCCATTGGGCTACAGGTAAGCAGTGAAACTAGCCTTCTAAAATGTGAAACGATGCCAACTTTACAATTTTCTGTTGTTGCGTTTTTCAGGGCCAACAACGAATTTTCTTTGCGTCAGAAACCTCATGCCTTCCAAACCATCGCTGTTCATTGCACAGTGAAGAAGAAACACAAGCCGCAGGTGGGATTTAATGTCCATCATGTAAATCAGGGAATGATATGCCTGTCTTTTCCCACAACAAATTTAGCTTTCCAGCAAAATTATTCAGCTAGTTGACAAACAGTTCATTTGAACTGTGTTAAACAAACAGTGTCTCCTAAAAAGTGTCTTCCAGAGAACCATGTTCGTGTTTAATGCCTATATACAAATCAACGTGTTCATATGCGCCACATTCCTAATGATATTTGCGTTTGTAAGATCTTCAGCATGGGTGATTGCTTACGAAACTTTGGGTGGTGCTGACCCCTGTTCGAGGGCCTAACTGAGTGTGAATTTCAATCTTTCTCAAACAGGCAAAAGAAATTGACCAGTGGCTTTAAAATCACAACACTTAACATTGGAGTAAATCCTCGTAAAAAGCTTACTGTCTGGTTGGTAGTAGTCTAGAGGTCAGCAGATAGAGTCTGAAAAATATGACGTTTGTTCCTCCTCAAAAAGTGCTGATCAGACCTAAACTACTAATAAAATAAAGTGAGTTCCACGGTATATGTTGGTGTTATGGCATTAGCTGACTACACATGCCAAGACACGCTTGCTGCCCAACAATCTATCGGATGACCCGCAAAGCGGAATTACGCCTTGTTTGTTCACACGGTGAGTGAAGTCCAGTCCACTGCTACATGATGGAGGTGAAGCTTTCAGCTGTTTTGTAGCTCCGCGAATATGCTCCTTTATATGAGGGAAACTACTCACAAGGTTGTTGAAAACTTTTCATCAGCTCACGATCATTTTCGCCCGTCTTCGGGCTCATCAGGTAGGCGCAGTCCCCGGGGTTCTACTTGTTCTACTTGAACCCTAATTGGACTGCTTTCGAGAAATATACCCATTTGCGAATCAATTTGGTTTTCATGAGAGACTCAACTGAATCTCTCTTTTATGATATTCCACAACTAAATGTGCTGCAACAGGACGGCGGATGTTTCATTTGGTAAGATGTTCGGAGGTCGCAGTATATTTTCATGAACGAAGCCACTCACAAGTTTTCTGAAAACTCTTCGACAGCTCACGACCGGTTTCTCCTTTCTTGTGGCTCATCAGACAGGCTCTTCTATACTTAGTCAGGCTAATATCAGCCATTAAGAAGACACGTTCTTCTCTGAGACGGTGTACGAAAGACGTCCATCAGGCTAGTCATCTTTTTGGAAAAATTCTTTATCGCCCTTCTTTCAAATTTTACGTGAGAAATTCTGAAGAACCACTGGTGTCGAATAAGATTTTTAATGTTCGTCAAAGAGGTTAACTCAATAGGTACATTCAAATTGTTTCATACTTAACATCCTCTTCTGGAACTTTTCTCGCGTGGTTGAGGAAAAAATAGTAATCTGGGGGAAAATGCACAAGAGCATGGTGTAGTTTTCCCATAGTAGTTATCACTGACCTGTAAGTTATTGTTTGTCAATTTTGAAACAATTACAGCAGATTCGCAAAGGCCGGGTCAAAGGAACACAATCTTTTTGTCTACAAGTTCCGCGCAGCTGAATAAGGTTGCGCCCACAATGTTCAAACTATTACAAATGAGACAACAACACAAAGTAGAGCTTCCGGATGGCCCACGTGATCCCTAGTGCGTTATCTGCCCTGTGATCCACCTGTGCCCAGAACTTGCAGTTTCGGCTATCTGCTCCGCTTTTATTCACCTGATCTCGACTATATTGGTTGTTAGTTAAGTTCTGGGCGTAACTATTTTCCTTGCTCTCTTACACGAGTAACGAACGATTTGTAGCCACAATAATTGGCAGGTGACCTGACCATTTGTGAGGTGCTGACCTTCAGCCTTTGAAAAAATACCCTCGGTATTACTTGTAACCGAGGGGTCATGATCTCAAGTTATCATCCCAAGCAATATTGTCTCTGCTTTAATCTTCAGGAAATACCATAATTTGTAGACCAATTCAACCAATAAACTCCGCACGGATGTTTCAGTATTCTACATGTCAAACAGTTGTGTTGTAAACTTTTGCGTTCTTGCTGTACCTTCTGGTAACTGCGCTATCACAGCTGTGCTTGTGCCTCCTGTCCTTTCCATAGAAATCAGAACGCAAAAAAAACCTACGGCTTCAGTAACCCCCAACGTTTGGCGCCCCAGCAGAAACTCTCCTTTAGTCCCTATGACCGCCTACCTTCTCTCAACTACTCAGACACCTAAATCCCCAATACTGTATGGTATTTTAGCCCTCCAAAATCCCAGTTTATACAGCCGAAGTGCACGAACCGTCAGTTTAGGTCTACGCATTCAGCAACGTGCATTTTTACAACTCGTTAATCGGACGGCTTTTGAGGAGCTAGAAAAATTACGCGCCGGATTTAGTGAGCTACAAAATGAACTCAGGAGAACAACGACCCAGTTATATCTCTTGCGCAAGCAGCTGTGGAACGATGAGCGATCACTCATGCAGGTGAGTTGAAGACAAGCATTCCCATTCTCTTTGTTTACCTCTTTTTTGTTTACTACATATACCGTTTCTCGAAGAAACTCAATTGCTTTTGGGCTGAGCAAGTATTTGCCAATTGTTTGGTAATGCATCTGCCCTCAGTCATATTCCTCACGAGACCAGTATGTAAGAGCTATTTCTGGCTCGGTTGAACCAGTACTCAAGATTCCGTGGCATCATTTAGCTACAATATATGCCAGTCACAAGACCCACGAAAACCAAACCCACTACCCCGCAGTATTGATCTCATCAGGTCCCTTGGTTTTTAAATCTGTATTAATGCAATTTACCACAAGAAGTTGATATAAGCTAAGTGCTTTCTGAATTCGTTCTAAGAAAGAGATGGTCAATAGCACATCTTAGTTTTCTGGGGATCAGTCGTGATGAATGCTTCATTAGCTCATCTGAATTTTGCTATAAAGCTTCCTACTACATATATTCCAATCCTCTCAGAAAGTTCGCCTTGTTTAGTGGCAAGCAAATCTGAGGTTGACAGTAAACGCAAGGACTGAGTGAACGAATTAAATAAACTAGAGCATAAGGGAAGCTTCTCACAAAGTAAACTACTCACAAGGTTGCTGAAAACTCTCCGACAGCCCACGACCAGTTTCGCCCGTCTTCGGGCGCAGTCCCCGAGTTTCCGACAACCTTATGATCTACTTGAACCCAGAATGCACTGTTTTCGAGAAATACACCCATTTGCAAATCAATTTGGTTTTCACGGGAGACTCAATTAAATCTTCCGTTTACGATGTCCTTCAGCTGAATGTGCTGCACACAGGACGCCTCATGATTCAGTTGGCACGATATTCGAGATATCGCAGTGTATTTTCATGAAGGAAACTACTCACAAGGTTGCTGAAAACTCTTCGACAGCCCACGACCGGGGCCCTTCTTGGGGCTTGTCAGGTAGGGGCAGTCCCCGAGTTTCCTTTATGAAAATACACTGCGATATCTCGAATATCGTGCCAATTGAATCATGAGGCAGCCTGTGTGCAACACATTCAGCTGGAGCACATCATAAACGAAGGGAAGCTTCTCACCTTTGCATCCATGCTGCGAATTCTTTTCTCAAGGCTTTGGTTTTTCCACATTGTGAATAATGTTATACGGTTTTGCCGGCCAGCCAGTAAAACATTCGCCGATCCTACTCTGTTGTAGGGTCAATGAGCACTGGCAGTTACAGGAAAACTCAGAAAGAAATGTCTGGATCCCATTTGATCACCGATAACTAGAACGAAGATACATCACAACAGTTTTGGTAATGCTGAGGTAATTAGTATTTGTAGAGAAAAATTTTATAAGGATATTCTAGTGTTAGACTCTAAGTTTTCAACCCACATTGCTTCGGTTGACAGCAATATCCAAAATAAGTTCTGAAACTCTGCGCATCTGTTGGATCATGAATGACCGTCTATGGGTTACGTCTGCACTGAGCCTTCCAGACTACGCGATAGGAAGAATACAGAGAACGGGGTACACGGCTGTATTGCCAGGACAAAACATACAGAGCGTCTGCGTAAATATATAAGATGACTAAATGGCCAAATATGGTCGTTCACTCGTTCATTCGTTAATCCATGCAGCAAATAGCGGTGTTCTGCTCGTGAACAATCTAAGGCCCACTACGCTGGCCGTATGTTGCTAAGCCGTTTGGTGAGAGCCGCCAACTCACCTACTTTCCGGACGTGTCGAGCCGATGGTGACCCCGAGGATGCGTCACTCTCTGCACATGTGCTTTTTCTTCTGTCTGGGCGCGCCCTGACACATCACAGTTGCTTCAGGAAGGGACCGTACAGCGATGTCATGAAACTAGCAGCTACCCGTCGTGACAGAATGTAGACGTATCAGACTAGTGAAAACTCATGACCAAACCGTTCGAGTAACATGAAGACTGTTGGATGACATGCAACTTAATACGCTGAGAAAATCCAATGAGGAATACCGGCAAATGTTCCCGAATTAGGAGGTTTATCCAGAACATTAAAGTGTGAACATTAAAGTGTTGTTGAACATTAAGGTGTTGTACTCGGTTCCTTCGTGGTATTATTATTTCAATTCATCACCACTATCATTCGACCACCAGTTTATCGAGAAGCATCACATGGTCCTGCTTGATCGGATTGAATGCTGATTAAGTGATCATATGCCACCCCTGATTTAGCCGCTTTATTCGACTGCCTCATAGATATCGTAACAGGAGGTCACCACAATGGTGGAATTTTAATCGCGAAATAACACTGATAAAATGGTATTTGTATTCAAAATCAAGTGTTCACATGATTCTGGGGACACGGCATTGCGTATTGTACTGCTTTGTTGTGAAAATTAGCGGCTGGAGTTACCACCTATTTTCGGATAGCGCCCAACTTAGTGTCACTGCCACTGCTTATGGATGTCCGGTTCTACGTGATGGAAAATATACCGCAGTGTTGCAAGATTTCCCACACTGTATTTATTCGTCAGCGTAAATCACTATAGCTGCATACAATGGGGGTATGGATGACGTTGAACAAGCTCCCATCGGGTAATTGCTATGGGTCAAATGGCCGGTGATAAAGTAAACAAAACTTTTGCTCTCACAATTATTTTTGCGGATGATTAGGACTGGTTTGATCCGATTTGCAGAGCATCATAAGTCGTCAAAATCTTTGGGCATGGTATGAGACGAGTAGTCAGGGTGAACCCCCCTGGTCAACGCGATGATTGGAACCTAACAGGTATTTTGTAAGCGATGTTTTTGGAAGTCACGTTGATCCCACGGCCGTCATCCCGAGAACAATCAGATTGTACGACTGAATGCATTCTATACCACGTAGTGCTAGACATCCACCTATTGTATCAATGTAGGCGTCCTTGTAGCTACAAATGCTTCAGGCTTCTAGAAGGGAAGCCAGGTTAAACAGTACAGTTCCGCCCATGGTGGTCCAATAAGCTGATCCTGAATGTCAAACTATCGGAGCCGAAGAAGTATGGACGATGGGGGAAGCTGTCCTGGTCACATAACATCAAACGACAATCAGCACAAAAACATTTGGAGTTAAAAGACTTCATCATCCTGATGCTGAGCACAGAACCTTTAGTAGTCAACCAGCCTGGGACTTGTTCATCGTCGTTTCTACATGTTACCGTGTATTATCCGTGGCTTAGGATAGAGCAATGTCAACTTATTGATGCATGTTTCTTATAATGATTATAATAGATGAAGATTTATTGGTAGACTTGGAATTCTACGTGTAAATTTCGTCGTGTAAAACTGAGTTAAGCCAAATTATGCAGCTGTTTGGTCGTGACTTGGAGTCATAAACAGTGCGGATCTCACATTACTCCAGAGAGACTCGAATCCGTGATATTAGCCTTTCGTAGCAGATCGTTTTAGTGTCCAAACGACCAACTCGGAAATCATAAGTTAGAGACAGCTTTACTGTCATGAGATCCACATTACCGATGCGGTGAAACAGCAGTTTAAAAACTTCTTGCCCTTTCGGCTTCAGTTGTAGCATGAACTTTCTATTGTAATGTTGCCCATCTTCCTCGAAAATTTAATAGTTGCCCCAAATATATTTATCGTTTTTTGTAAGATATAGTGAAAAAGACTTTTTCATCACAGAGGGTTTATTGGGATTATTCAGCTAGATTGTGCGCCGGATGCTCATTCAAGTTATGATCTGCGAGATATGCCATCACTGACCTCTCCCATAAAACTTACCTTAATAATATATCCCTCTTCAGAAGCTATTTTGGTCGCCCCTCGGTATACTTTATGTTGATACAGTAGGTGAGAAAGCATTTTGGGAGGATAGACATTTGCACCGTGAAATAAGATTTCATTTGACTACTTGCCCTTGTTGAGTTATGCTTTTACATGGAAACTTGAAAGCAATCGGCTTAATGATGAAAGTAGGTGCACAATAGTATATACACATTGGTGTACAATCCAAATGAAACCTTAGTACAGGCACAGTCAGAAGTTCCATCTTCCCATTTTTAAGAAATTGCTGGCATTGTTCACATGATCAATCCAACCGAGTTGGTTCACGATCTCAGTGTACTTTCACATGTTTTGCCGACGTTGATCTACGGGTGCCTCCTAAATAAGGAAGAAGCGATCATATTGGGGTAGGAAATTGGAGCTTGTTTTGCTGCTGTACAACACACCACCGAACCCACACAAATAACAGACGCTTAAGCTAATCTTTGTCCAGGGGAATGAGAATGTTTCTCCTACTTGGCCGTCTACGCCATTCCTGTTTGTTCTAATCACCAAACTGACTACAATTTCTCACTCCAAAATGACCACATAGTGAGCTCGGCAAATTAGCAGTAAGATCAACCTCTCAAAGTGTGGAAATTCCCTTTGGTTTCATCAGTAGTGAAGTCAGAAGATGCAATATTTGTAAGACCGTGCAAGATATCGAGGCATTCAATGAGTTGAAAAACGCGTGGAACCGACTGAGTAGTCACTGTTTTCGGAAAAAGTTTGGTATTAATCGGTAGATTTATTGCTTTTGACGTAAAACTTCGACAAGCCGAGTGACTAGATTACTAGACTGGTCAATATTTAGGGCTGAAGGAGAACTAATAATCTAAGTCAAGTTAAATCTGTTTTAGGTGTCGACCAAGAGATTTTGTGTGTTAGGGTTGGTCACCAAGTGTTAAGGCAATGGGTTCGGGCTAAGGTTCGGTTCACGTTTGCATTTATCGTCCATCTGCGTGGATGATCTAGTGCCACGATAGTTCTGTAAGTAATAGGGATGGGGTCGGGATTTCCCCCCCCCCCCCACCCTGTTTTTGCTAATGATTCTACATGCATTGACAACCGCACACACTCACGTGTAACCTCGGTTTATCTAAGCCCGCTATTCATACGCTCGCAAGTTTCACACCCTCGATTCTATTCACGCTGTGATGCTCGGCTGTTAGCCGCTGTGGTGTGAATTGCAGTCTACGTCTTAAAACTCCCACCTCCTCCAGATCTCTTCCATGTCCTGTGTCTAACGCGTGCACCACCATCGCTGAGTCTTTGACTGGCGTTTGGTATTCTTCATCATTTCTTTGTGGTTAGTTTATTCTTTTATGCTCACCAAATCTAGTGTGCAATTCCCTGACAGTTTATCCTATGTAAACCTTAGTTGCAATTACTTTTATACACACAGTCGCTAGTCCTTTCGGCCGAGAGGAGATCCTTCACCTGAACTAAAACTGAGCGTAACGTTTCCCCTTCTGGAAAGCCACTCTAATGTTGGCTAAGTTCAGCAGTCTTTCTATGACCTCCGATGTTTCCGTTTTTTATGGAACGACTGATGTGCCACTGCATTCCTTACTGGGTCTGGATACCGGAGCCAATATCCTTCTTAATTGCCGCCCAATCATACTCACTGGGTATCTTATTTCTTGGAGTCTGTTGGCAATCTCAATTTCAGCTGTTGTTCCGTCGACCTCGT